CTTTGACAATAAGTGAAGATTTAACCAAATAAATAAATGTAAACAAGAATAAATAATAATAAAAATAATTTTGTAAGCCAATAAAGTTAAATTTGAATATATAAATATAAATATAGTTTATTATTATTATTAAATTAAATTGAAAATCTCTGGAGTTTAATATATTAATTTTTATTTCGGAGTTTTTTAATGACAATGGAAATCCTCCAGAGGTCTATACCCAAAGATTTTCAAAAATCTTTGTTAAAAAATTTCCTGATATTGTTCAAGGTACAAGTTTTATATTAAAAATATTTAACATATTTTCAAATGTACTGAAACTTTATAAGTAGTTAATTAAATTATCAAGACTATTAATCAAATTTTTTATTTAGATAATAATTATAAACTAATTTTATATATATGCAAGTTCTTGAATTATTATATAAAATAATAGATAAAAATTTTTCTACTTTAATTCTTGTTAACTAAATTAAAGCAATAATAAAATCCTTAATTTAACTATATAATCCAATCTGAAAATTATATTTCTTTATAGTTAATATCTTATTTCTTATTAGAATTAAGTGAAATTATATTAAATTTCTTAATTTCTTTAATTTTTTTAAATTAAAAAATAAGAATATCTTATAAGTTAAAGATATATTCAATACTAATTCACAAAAAAATATATTATTGATTTATTTTTCATTGTTGTTAACTTATTTATTTAATTTAAATATAAATATTTCAAATATATTTATAATTTATTGTTTTAATATATAAGAAATAGTATATAATAAATATTGTTTCTTTATGATATACAGTATATCTTGTTATATACAAATTAAATAAAAAAATAATGTTTATTTATAAAAAAAAAAAGATATATTATTATAAACAGTAATTTGAATAAATTAATTAATACAATATTTGAAAAAATATAAGATAAATTTAATAGTTTTGGTTTAAAGAAGAGATTTTCAAAATTTTTTGAATTTTTTTTAAAAAAATTTTGTTTGTTGCTTAAAAAAAAGGTTTTAAAAATATAATATATTTAAAAAAGTGTTTTTTTATTATAAATCTATTATTTTGTTAAAATTGTTATTTTTTTTTAATATAATAATAATATATATATATATTTAATAAATCAATATAAAATTTTATTATTATTATTATTTTGTTATAACAAAATAAATTTATTTTATTTATTTTATATAATTATTTATTCTTATACTACTGTTTATAATATGATATAAAAAATAAAAATACAATTTTATTTATAAAAATAACTTGTTTTAATAATTTTTTAAATAGTTTTTGATTTATTTTGATTGTTTTTTATTTATTTATATCTTTTAATAAATAAGCATTGATATTATTTTAAAAAAAGGATTGTTATAAATTAGTAAATTTAAAAGATTATATAAAACTTATTAAAAATTTTTATTAAAAAAAAAACAATTTTTAAAATCAATATATTATTTAAATAGTAAAATATCAAATCATTTAATTTAAAAAAAAAATTTTTTTTTGTAATTAAATATAAAAAATCACAATGCAAATGACAAAAATCATTACTTTTTAACAAAAAAAAATAAATTTTGATAATTCCAATTACGAATTATTTCTAATTTCAATAGTCATTGTTTAATGAATGAATTTATTTTGCAAAATGATAAAATAATTTGTGTGAATTGTTTTTTTTTATGTAATGAAAGGGTGATATATCATTTTAAAATGACCTTTTGCTTTTAAATCTGATTCCAATAACAATAACAATATACAATAATATACACAGTGTATACAGCATGTTAAATAGTAATTTTTTTTACATCTATAAATATGTGACCTTATTAATTAGATAATAACTCTTATTAACACAATAAGGTGATAACTTGAAAAGTAGTTTGGGTGATACATGGCGCGGATTAGTAATTTATGCGATATCTTATGGTAATCACGGCAGTATGTATAAATATTTTCAATTGTGGATGTGTAACATACAAAAAAACAAATGTGTTAATGGATGTGGATGGTCGAGAAAATATAAAGAATCAAATTGTAATATATATATACAGGTTATTCTTTAAAACGAGATTTGGAGAGTATTCCTCGTTTATGTTTTTATAATACAGTGTAAATAAAAAACACGCAATCAAATCATTTGTTTATTTATTTATTTTATTTTTATTTTGAATTTATGTGCAATTTCGGTCAACTTTGGATCTCAAGATTTATAATAAAAGATTCGTTTTCTTCCATCGAGAATTCGATGCTGGACGCGTATATCGATAGTTGGTTTCATTTACTATTTTTTCTTTTAATTTAGCCAAAATTTGGTATCTGATTAACTGCAATCATACAAGCAAGACATCTAAATTGATGTCGTGAATCACGCAATCACTTGTGCAAATTTGTAAAGGATGAGCTTCTTTTTTTTAATATTTGGACAGATAATCTAAACAAAAAGCAAAGAATTTCGTATCATTGCAAGTTATTGAATAAATGCGTGCCTAATGTTTTAACCTCATGATTTGAACCTTTGTGTGAGTCAAATTATTTCGCCACGCCATCATCCCAATTTTGTGTCAGCCGTTTGTACACCTTTGGAGTAACAGTTAAGAGATATCGGAAATATGCATGATTACGGTACATATGGTATAAAGCATTAATAATGCATTTGGTGTGTACATTTTGCATTTAGGAAATACAGTATTGAATAATTGTTGTTACGGTAGTTTGACCATAAAATTAAAGATGGTGAAAATCAAATTGGATTTCTCATTGCATGATGGAGACATGAATTTCTAATTTGTTGCCTCAAAATTCGGATCTGACAAGATCGAGTTAACCATTTTTTCCTGGTTTCTTTGTAATAAAACTTCAATCGATTACTAATCGATTCGTTAATCAACCCTTTCCTCGAAAATGCACAGGTATTCCCGGAAGTCAACTGGTGACGTAATCAAATTTTACAGTTGCTTCTCGTCACTCGTTACATCCTCCAAGTTTACAAATGCTCACAAACCAATTTGGATCCCGACGAACCCTCAATCACCGGGCGCAAAAGAGAGATTACGCAATCCCTTGTAACTTCAAAGAGAACTACAAATGGCAAAGGGTGGGAATCTGCAATAAGTCTCGATTGGATAGGAAAGATTTGATACAGATTCGGGCTAGTTTTGTAATTTGGAAGCCTGAATTTAGAATTCCGGTGACAAAGAAAAATGGATTGTCTGTCTATCTATCCTTTCACCAAAATTTGTTAGTCGGTATCATTAGCGCAACAGAATGATAATATGACGTGTGATAAAGTAAGCAACGTCCGTCTTTTCGTAGAATGAGACACTTGATATTTCCCAGGGATTAATTAAGTTGCACCTGCGCTTAATAATTTTATTTTTGGTATTAAAAAAAAAACCAAAAAAAAAAAGACCTTTCAAAGTATCACCTTTATCAACAAGATATCACCATTGCGTACTTTGGTACGATACATATTGTACATATACATACACGTGTGAATTTACTGGCATTCGCTTCACTATCATAATATTCGCGCAAAACCAAAGTGCATTTAATTTCTTAGGTAAGGAAGGGTTGATTGTATAAGTAAAAAAGCGGCCGAAGACGTTTAGCCATTTTTCGAGTTCCAATTAACTTTGCAGTGGTTAATATATGTGAACTCAATTCAAAAACAATATATGATCACAAAAATGCCACATTTTGAAAAAGACAATGCATTATGTGGTCTTACGTAAGCGATTTTGTCAGTCGCTTACCAGCGATTTTCCCCGATTCTAGACCTTCCTGGTACATCTATGAGTTCCTTTTAGAGAAAACCGATCGTCAAATAAATGTCGTCCGACAATATACGTTTCTCATTTCACAATTTAATTAGGTGATAATCAATGTGATTGATAAATGGGGACTTTTTTAAACATAACCAGCAAAAAAATTTAAAATGTAGATTACATGGCGGGGCCAGTAGACTAATCTTAATCTTTATTTAGGTAGGATGGCAAATTAAGTAAGCCACATGTGTTCCATATCATGAAATACAACATCTTTCATTCAATCGATGGATGATGATATTTGTCGAGCCACAATTTAACCGCGGAATCAACGATTCATAAGATTTGTCTGATGGCCAACCAAGCTTCTCGTGTTGATCGTCGATTGCTATGGACTACTTGTAAGTTCGTTCGTTTTTCTCACCCAACTAACTCTAGGATCATCATATTTTTCCCGGAAGATCGTTTATGCACATGATGCGTAATCGGTGTAGCGATGTCATTAAGAGCCATCCGAATTTGTACGTAGTACCAGAGTCTAGATTCATCAACAATTTAATTAATTTACAAAACACCTATCGAGTATAAAATATTTAAAATATTTCTTTTATTATCGTCGACGATTTTGATCTTTTGTACACGATGCCACAAAATTGATCTAGTCTCTGTTGATTACATAATCCGTTAGTCAGCTTTTTGGTGTGCTATAAAAAAAATAATATCATATTAGAGAGGAGGGAGGTGACACATACTATTGATGGATACACGAATATATGGGTATATATATATACTCATGAAGGTCACAAAAAAAGAAAATTCACTTGTATAATTTGTATAAATACTTCATTTCAAAATTCATTTTTCTTCTTCTTTAGGAGTTCATGTTTTTCTTTTAAATATCGACTTTCTGGGGATTACTTCTTTCTTTCTTCCTTCTTCGTTCGTTCGTCTTTCCGGAGTGTTGTAAAAAAGAAAAAAAAGAAAATTTTTTGAAGAGGGATTTGTTGAAAAAAAAAATAAATTTCCAAAATCGATTTCTTCTGGAATCTCTACAGCCAATATCCCTCACTGTGACGGAAAAACGAGTTTAACCTTTTTGAAATTTAAATTCCACCTTACCATACATTCACTCTCAAGAGCTCCTCAGCAATAAAATTACTCCCCACTTTTGAGATAAAATAACTTCGTGTTCAGATATACCTTATTCATATATCAAACATGAACATAATGTCATTGTTAAATCCGAACGACGAGGATGAGGATTCGTCGACATTTTCCTTTGCATCGGAAAATACCAGTTATGACCCTGAAGCAGAGGCCTACACAGTTCTTCGGCTACTCAACTGTCCTCTGTGCGGTAGACTATTCTCCGATCCTGTGACTTACCTTTGTGGGAATACATTCTGCCGCGGGTGCTTGCTATCTCATTCGACCGCCTTTAGATTTCAGTGTACAGTACAAGGATGTGGTCGATTACATGGGGTTGACGAGAGGACTGCTAGGACTGACGTTTCGGTGAGCAAGTTGACCGACATATGTCGAAAAGAGATACCGGAGTTGATTTCCCGTGTCACTCAACAGAATACACGAACAAACTCGCGGTACACCCAAGACGAATTTGATTTTTTGGAACGGCATTTATGTGATGATGATGCGAACTCTTCTGACGAGGAGGAATCTCAATTTTATTCCAGAAGATTTGATTCGTCCGATATCTACTCAGAAAACAAATCCAATGATAATTCCAACAATTCACACGTCGTCCGCACTGACTTATCCCGTCTTAAGGATTTACTAGCAGGTGAATTAGAATGTCAGGTCTGCTATCAGCTGTTCATCGATCCTGTAACCACTCCTTGTGGCCACACCTATTGCAGACCCTGTCTAACGCGTTCGCTGGACCATAATGATCGATGCCCGTTGTGCCGTTATCAACTTCGCAGCTATGAATACTATCGTAATAACCCAATAAATAAGACAATTTCAACCTTCATAACTTCTCTCTATCCAGCTCTATATGCTGATCGACGACAATCGGCCGAGAGTGAACTTTACGACAGTATGCAGGACGTTCCAATATTTGTCACTTCTTTGGTCTTTCCCAGAATGCCATGTTTCCTACACATATTCGAACCGAGATACAGATTGATGATCAGAAGATGTTTGGAGTCAAGGCAGAGAAAATTTGGCATGATACTACAAGAAGATTCCGAGTACGGTACGATGTTGGAGATTCGGTCATCCGAATTTCTGGATGATGGTCGATCGATGGTGGAGACGATTGGAACGTATAGGTTTCGATTGGTCGAAAGAGGGATAAGGGACGGTTACATTGTTGGAAGGGTTGAAAGAATAGATGACATTGATCCCGAACAAGAGTTGGAACGAGAGAGAGATGCCATAAGAGTCGCTGATATTAACAACGCAAATCCTATCAATCCTCGGACGTACGAACCAACAATATCGGAATTGATTACTATAGCTCGAGATTTCATCGAGTCGTTGAGAAATGGGTATGCTCCGTGGCTCTTACAACGTTTGAATTCTACCTATGGTGACATGCCAGAAGACCCTTCCGACTTCTCCTTTTGGATCGCCTCAGTAATACCAATTGAAGAAAGTGAAAAATACAGATTATTGGGAGTGCGATCAATCAGGGAGAGAATGAAAATAATTGTCTCGTGGATTGAACAGTTGAGAGGACAATGGTGGTTCTCAAGAGGATGTTCGATATCTTAATAATTTAATTAATAAAAACCATGTATCATATAATTGTTTATATTTTTTTTATTAAATGATGATTGTGTTAACAACACGAATGTTATTCGCAATCCCAACGCATATCGCATCGCATCACATCACCGGAGCGTACTCGTATACGTTTAACCACTCACTCACCACCAACCCTACCTGATCATTCCCCTCGTGTGCGATTAAACCACCACCACATTCTTTTATCTAAGATAGATAGCATGTAGAAATGGAAGAAATCCAAAAGTCACGTGTTCATGCCTGTTGACACACTTCGTTCATAAAAGGATATCTGTAATCAGTGTCGAGGTTACCCTCTTGTCATTCATTTTTCCAACGCATCAATCCTTTCTTTCTATATATTTATATATTTTTTTTTCTTTTAAGAAAAAAAAAACAAATTAAAAGATTTCTTCTTCACCTCACAGCAAATATGTGTATCTTTGAATCTTTTTCTTGAAAATTTCGATTATTTCGCAAACCATTTTTCGAAAAAAAAAAAAATCTATTCTCCTTTTTTTTTTTTTTTTCACTAAGGTACATTAAGAAAATATCAAAAAACAATAAATATCCATCACTATGATACATATGATGAAATAATCATTCTGTATATTCTACGTGTCATTGAAACGAAACCTAAAGTTAACCGACCTTCACGAAGAAGGTCGCCAATTGTTCCGCCACGGCGGTTACCCAAAGCCTCCTGTAACTTCAGGAGAATAACAAGAATTTTGACCAGAAACGTAAATCAATAACATAACATATTATCACAGTATCACCATTATATTTCCATTATTATTCTTATACTACATTATCTATCACAGTATATAGTATTCTGATTTATCATCATACATCATATAGTATGTTATGAAACATTGTTATTATAATATGTTGGATTAATTGTATTATTATTTTTATTAGCATATTATTATAAATATAATCATTTGAAGACCTAAAGTTTGTTTTTTCGATGTACTGTACGTGCACCAATCTAGTTGGTACGTTGTTGTCTCGAAAATCTCTTTGCGCTAATGGTGAAATTAACAGAGGTGCAGCTGGAAAAACGATTCAAATTCATTCCGCCCATTCCATCGTCAGAATATCCTTTTTCGGAAGGCATTTGAAAAACTTATGTGCTGTAAATTACTCGTTATGTGGTTTTAAACATTAATAATGTATGTCTGTATGTCGTATCGTATATTTATATGGTATATGATGACGGAATTTTAGTTTTTTTTTTTAAAAAAAAAATAACTGTTTTGAATCCTAGAAAATAAATCTAAAAAAATAAATCAAAAAAAAAAAAAAAAAAAAGGTAAATAGGTAAATAAATAAATAATAAAATATAAATTGATAAATTGCTTGTGATTGTTTTTATAAATGTATATCTAAATGATGGGATAATGTGTACAATATCAGAATTTCTATTATTCATTCATTCTCGCTCTAGAGGGGTGTTGCCGTATGTTCGTGCATCCACCCACCAACTGTTCAACATCCTCCAAATATTATGATTACTCGAACTTGGCTAGAACAGCCGAGATTGAATTAGAAACAGAATAAACAGAATTATAAACTTTGAGTACAGAAACCTTCTGATTTTCAACAAACATGTTCTCAACATTGACACTTTTGTACCACACCATGTTTGCCCGAACAATGATCTTGGCGAAACAATCTTGGCATCGTAAAATGTGATTACAATATTCTTCCTACCAATGAAAATCCGTCGGAGATTTAAGTTTCATATTATCTCTCCATTAGTATTCATTAGTATTTACAGTTTATGCATATCCGTTCGTCTCACAATCATCGGCAAGATGCTTCAACGAGACTAAGTAACCTATTGTCATCTACTCCTAGTGAAAAAAAATTTTTTTTTGAAGTAATAAAATATGTGTTTGATGATTTTCTGAACCGTGGACGATGCGGGGACGCATAAATGCAATTTTTCGCGGAAAGACATTGGTTTGAAGGTTATACACATATTTACAGTATAAAAGAAATCAAAATCTACGAGATCTTGTAAGATTTAGGTTTGGTTTAGCTATTATAGAAGTGGGAGGAACCATGTTACGGGCATGACCATTCTTGGTATTTCATTAAATCAACATAAGATGCGACAGTGTGTGAACAATGCAGTATTAATTTACTATTAATGATAATACTGTAATCTATTTTATATCACCTGATTATCGATGGCCCATTGTTGATGATTTAATATTCTTTGTAAAGTATAAATAAGTCACGTTTTCGTATGTTTGAGCAAGATAAAGTATCGTGAAAGCACAAGAGATCAGAAAAACATGAAATTTTAATTTTTTATTAAGATTAACTCAGAGAAACAGAAAGAAATTCTTGACAGGCAATGTGAGTAGCTCAGGCAGAAATAACCAGACCACGAACTCATCAGAAACATCAGGTCAGGTCTCAGCCGAAAACACAAGTACTTGACATCTATTATGGAATGATTGTACCGAGGAGATATCGAGAAGGTTGTGGTTACTAGGAAAGATCGACTCGGCAGATTTGCGTACGAGCTTGTTGAATGAATTTTGATGACACCGAGTTTAGTGAACTTGCCGAGAACCAATTATCAATCATTACTATTTTCACGGCCAGCTGGAAACCGAAATAATAATATATACGAGAACAATGAATGCTACACAACCTCTGGGTAAAAGAGTCTCTCAGGGAAGTACGTTCGTATGCAATTCGACAGTTGATGGCCACATACAAAACAAATAAGGAGTTGCATGGAAGAAGGATCGAACACAAACCATTCGCGGTGTATAATACCCCCCCGTAGAATACTAGCCGGTCTTCCAATCAATATACACGAATAAGAATAATATACTGTACTGTATATAAATTTTTTTTTTTACGTACATAATGATTGGCAGAAAGATATGTACCATTAAAATATCTATTACAAGGGGGTACTATACACCGCGACGTACGGTAGATTCTTACTAAGGATTAGAATAGGAACAGAGGGAAAATACGCGTTCGTAAAAAATATTATCATCTCGGAACAATCACCGGATATAAACAATACGGTTAATATAACTATGAATCATCTGGGATATTTTTACTTTTTGTGTTTCCGTTTCTTTGGGAATCGAGATGAATGAAAATCTCGTTCGATCCAGGTGTTCGCACGTTTATGACTGGTTATGACCCTAATGGTCGATTAAATTATCTAAGAGATATGACAAATTACAGAGCAACAAATATTTTACTTTGGGAAGAACAAATGAGAGAAAGATTTCGATTGAAGAAAAAGATGCTATCAATTACACAATATCAATCACACAACGAATTTGTAATTTAATCGATGGGTGTCATCATCAGTTGTTCCGTTGGTTATGTCAGAATTACGAGATCATTCTTTTACCCAAGTTCAAGTCTTCGAGGATGGTTTTGAAGAAAATCGAATATTTAGTCAAAGACTGCTCATGCAATGCTGACTTGATCGCATTTCAGGCTTCGGATGTTCTTACACCATAAGTCGAGAGAGTTTAGAAGTTGCAAGGTCATTGAGTGCACTGAAGTGTATACATAAAAGACGTGTATGAATTGTGGATTCGTAAAAAATGATCTCGGCGAATCAAAAACGTTTAATGTGATTTGTGCGAAGTAGAGATGGATCAGGACGCGAATGAAGCCAGAAATATCTTGTTTAAATATTAACAGGAGGGTCAGGTTTTAGCCTGACTTGGGACTTAAACCTTATAGGATATGATATGCATAGTAAAGACTGGTTTTATTTCTTCATAGTAGATTTAATTTCAAGGGCAAAACAATGACTTAATGCACAATAACGTCCGAGAAGAAATATTCTTATTAATGATAATGTGATTTTATTAAAACTTTAAAATAATTACTTGGTTGTTTTAACAAATAATGTATGTTGTAAGAGTACCAATAGTAAGTCTGTGTTAAATAAAGATTTATTACCAAAAATAAATAACAGGGTGGCCCTTCTCCTTACCTCGCTTATGCGACGCCTTATGGTATTGTACATTATGCGTCACCTGTAGCATATGTGCGAACAAATTTGTGTGAAATTTCCGGATCATGAAAATTAATTACGTGACTCTATACTGATTGTCACGTAGTTACATGTATATTATATACATACTGTATATAGTTTCTTCCCATAAATAAAGGATTATCAATTACAAAACATATAACTGAGCCACCCTTAGCAATAAATAATCTCAAAAATCTTATCACAATCTCTACACTCAATGTCCAAGGACTCAATAATAAAGGAAAACACTAGGAATTAACCAGATCCTTGACAAGTGAAAGATATATTCTATGTTGTTCTGAAACAAAAATCACAAAGTCAAATCCACTACTCTCAACACTAAACAACATCACTATTATCTCTAGCCTCCCTACCATCACAGCCAGCAACAGAGCAGCAATTTTTTTTATCAAAGCAATCTCAAATAACATCTTCAAAACATTTACTATCAATTAATTTTGGTGTATTACATATCTGAAGTTCAAACCCAAAGTAGATATTGTTATCATTTCCTGCTACCTTCCTCATGATCTAGACACAAGAAAAACAGCAGTTAAGATATTCAAAAATTTTATTAAAGAACACTCCAGCAATCATATGATTCTTACAGATGATTTCAATATACTGTATATCCTATATATGCTTCATATATTAATGCCCAACATCAATACACAAGAGACATATTTGCTACTATTGTATCTTAACAAGTTTATTAATATAGCCAAAGTAACAAACAAAAAAGAACAATTCACATGTTTCACCAGCAACAGTGTTTCCAGAATCGATTGGATATGGATTACCAGTAACTTATCAAGCAAAATCCTTTCTTACAAAGTTTATGAACAAATATCTATAGGTTTGAATTATAAACAAGTTATATTTATTTTAGACTGGTTTGAATATAAGCCCAACAAAGTCTGCTTTAACACCAGTATTTATCAATTTAAGGAGG